AGAGATCTATAGGGGAGAAGTAGTCCAAGTATAAATGAGGTCTTACAGATGTTTCTAAAGCCATTGTAGTAGATGGCACATCTGCGAGAGCTGTGGGAGTGGTCCGACCAATTTTTTCTCTAATAGTTGTGATTTTATTTGTAAAGAAGCTCATGAAGTCATTGCTGCTGAGATCTAAGGGAATGTTAAGCTCAACAGCACTGTGGCTCTTTGTCAGCCTGGCTACAGTGCTGAAAAGAAACCTGGGCTTGTTCTTATTTTCCTTAATCAGTGATGAATAACATGCAGTTCTGGCACTACAAAGGGCTTTTTATATGTTATTAAACTATCTTTCCAAGCTGTGAAGAACTCTTCTGACTTAGCGAAGCGCCACCTGATTTCCAGTTTTCATGATGCCTGCTTTAGAGAGCGGAGTTGCAAGTTGTACCATGGGGCTAGCCTCCTCTGTTTCACTGCCTTCCTTTTCAGAGGGGCAACGGTATCAAGTGTATTACGCAGGGAGGCTGCAGTACTATCAACAAGATTATCAACTTGTGTGGGAATAAAGTTAAGGTGGCCTCCCTCCACTGTGTTGGCAAATGGCACTGAAGTAAATAATGATGGAATTATTTCTTTAAACTTGGTAACGGCATTGTCAGATAGACATCTGCTGTAGTGGAATTGTTTCCCACATAGAGAATAATCCATTAATGTAAATTCAAAAAAGTTATTAGAAAATGGTCAGACAGAAGAGGGTTTTGGGGAAAAACCATAAAGTGTTCAGTTTCGATGCCATATGTCAGAACAAGATCAAGAGTGTGATTAAAACAGTGAGCGAGTTTATTTACAGTTTGAGAAAATAAAGGAGCGGGGAATCCAGGAGCACTCCATAGCCTTCCCAGTCCACCAGGTATTGGATCCCCCGGCCCCTAGGGCGGACATCCAGGATTTGACAGACAGTGTAGGCAGGACCGCCATCAGGCAGAGGTGGAGCCGGCGGAGGACAGAGGGGACTTGATGAGACAGGTTTGATCTGTGAAACATGGAAAACAGGGTGAATATGCAGGGAGTCAGGTAGTGTAAGTTTAACAGCAGTAGGGTGGATGACTTCCTGAATGGTGAAAGGCCCCAGGAACCGGGGAGACAGTTTGGGACATGCTCCCTTGATGGGTATATGAGTAGCCGAGAGCCATACCTGCTGCCCAACCTGGTAAGTAGGAGTGGCCCGACGGCGAAGATCGTCAAGGTGTTTATTTTGTTCAGCCGTATGTACTAGGGCAGCCCTGATCTCGTCCCAGATCTCCTGACAGCAGGTTATGTGAGCCTGGACTGAAGGAATGGCAATGTCTGTCTCGGCAGCGGATAGGAGAGGGAGTTGGTATCCAAGGGATGCTTGGACTGGTGAGATACTGGTGGTGGAGCTGGAGAGGGTGTTATGGGCATATTCCACCCAAGGCAACAACAGACTCCAGTCTTCAGGTGAAGAACTGGCAACGTAGCAGAGTGCATTTTTCAGCTCCTGGTTCAACCATTCAGATTGTCCATTGGTTTGTGGGTGATAACTGGAAGAAAGACAAGGATGAGCCCCGGTGGCTGTGCAGAAGGTGGATCAGATGTGTGATGTGAACTGTAGACCGTGGTCAGAGACAATGTTTATGGGGGTGCCGTGGATGTGAAAAACATGTTGAACCAGGAGCTGGGCTGTTTCAAGTGCTGTGGGGAGTTGTGGCAAAGCAAGAAAGTGAGCAGCTTTAGAAAAATGGTCGACTATGGTGAGAATGTCTGTTGCCTTGAGAGGGAGGCAGCCTGGTAATGAAGTCTAGAGCTATGTGAGACTAGGGCTGGCTGGGTGTGGTCAGCAGCTGAAGGAGACCCACAGGCGACTAATGGAGGGGTTTGGAATGCGCACAGGGAGCACAGGCTGCCACGTACTCCCTGGCATCTTTTTCTAGGGTGGGCCACCAGAAGTAGCATTTTAGGAGAGAAATGGTCCTCTGTACCCCCGGATGGCATGCTAGCCGGGAGGTGTGGGCCCAGTTGAGGGTCTGGGCCCTAGCAGCCTGGGGGATGAATAATCTATCTGGTGGTCCCAACCCAGGATCGGGTTCGTGTTGTTGGGCCTCCCATATGGTGTCCTCGATCTCCCATGTCACAGGAGGCGGGCAAGATGGTTTCTGGAGGGGTGTCTGTGGTCGTGACAGTGCATCTGGTTTCTGGTTGTGGGACCCCGGCCTATAGGAGAGGGTGAACCGGAACTGATCAAAGAACAAGGCCCACCTCGCTTGCCTGGGGTTCAGTCTGTTGGTGGAGGTAGGCCAAGTTCTTGTGATCGGTCCAGACTAAAAAAGGTTGCTCAGCCCCCTCGAGAAGGTGCCACCATTCCTCTAAGGCCAACTTAACTGCAAGCAGTTCTTGGTTACCTACGTCATAATTGCGTTCAGCCAGGGTCAACCGTCGGGGGAAGGCAGCACAAGGATGCAGGGCGTGGTCTCCATCGGACCGTTTAGAGAGAACTGCTCCTACTCCAGTGTCCAACACGTCCACTTCAACCTCGACCTGCCTCGAGCGATCAAGTTGGAGGAGTATGAGGGCTGTGGTGAACCGGTGTTTGAGTTCTTGGAAGGCCTGCTCTGCTGTCCAGGACCATACAAACTTCACCTTGGTGGAAGTGAGCTGCGTAAGGGGAGCAGTGACCGTGCTGTAGTTCTTAATAAAGTGGTGATAGAAGTTTGCAAAGCCCAGGAAGCATTGCAGGTCCTTCAGACAGGTGGGAGTGGGCCAATTGGTGACAGCAGAGATTTTGGATAGGTCGGCGCAGAGCCTTCCCTGTTCAACGATGAACCCCAGGAACAACACAGAGGCGGAGAGGAAGATGCACTTCTCCGCTTTGATGTACAGGTGGTTTTCCAGGAGTCAAAGGAGAACCAAACAAATGTGCTGAATGTGCTCTGTGAGGGAGGAAGAGTAAATGAGTATGCCATCTAAGTAAATAAAAAATGGCCAAGAAAGTCACGGAAGACATACCACTCAGTCCCAAATGGGGTTGTGGGGGGCTGGAGCCAATCCCAGCCAGCAATCGGGTGAAGGCAGGGTACACCCTGGACAGGCCGCCAGTCTATCACAACATG